CATTCACTTATGCACAAACATTTTTGGGAATCGTATGAATCCACCTCTTCCCCCAACTATGGGCTAAATTGTAGGTCGTACTTGGAAAAATCATTATTGATCTAAAAAAAAAATAATACAATAATCACTCACAAAATAAAAGATTTATTCTCATAATCCAAAGTATATTTTGACTTTAAATAACCCACAAAGTGTTGATAAGCCATTAAAAATGGGTTGATACATAACTGTGTTTTATGGTTTTTTTTTTTTTTTTAAGCAGGCCTGAGATTAATCTCATACAAAGCAAGTTGTGTCCTGCTTGTAGTTTTAGAGAAATTGAAAAGGACACTTATACTTCAGGAAGAGACAATTGAAATTTCTCAGGCACATAACAAAGAAAAAGGGCTTGGAAAATTTGATACTCACAGGACAGATTGAGACAGGAAAACAACACATAACCTACCTAGAAACCTTGAGTAAATGGTGGACCAAGGTTTAGTAGAAATAAGGAAAAGAAAAAATATTTTAAGAACTAAAAAGGAGAGGAGATTTTGGAGAGCCATGATAGCCAACATTTTGAAATGACAAGACACATTGAAGAAAAGAAAATTGCAGCACCAATAATTCTATATATTTCATATGCAAAGGTACTCTAGAATTATTTCTCTGCTGCAAATATTTACGTTACACAATTTCCCTTCAATTTTCTCACTTTCCAGCAGTGTTCCTTATCTATCTTTGGATATTGTGCCAGTGAATGCAATAGGAACATCTAGTATTTGTTAAAAATTAAGTTCAGCTATCAACAAATTGTTTTCTTCACATCATGATTCAACTAGGAAAAATTTCAAATATTTTAAAAATGTATTCATTCATTTTTCATAGTTTTACTTTAAAAATTTTCCATATTATTATATAGGCACCTCCACTAATTTGCTAAAATAGTGCATGCCAGGATGAAAAAATGCCCCAAACCTGATGAAGAAACAAAATTTTAGTGACAAAATCTTTGTTATTATTAAAAGGAAAAGCAAAAGTATTTTCCACTTATTTAATTACATTTTTTAATCCTTTTTAGAGTATTCAAAATTTTGGTTAAAAATCTTTGTTTTCTTGTGTCAGTGGGTGGACTATATTAAATTTTAGTGTCATTTTTGCATTGACAGAAATCAGATAATTGTCAGATTTTAATAAAATTTTCAGAACTTATTCACAAATGAATGAAATTATTTTAGAAATGTTTTTTTTAGAAAATCTCGTTTTTTTTTAGAAAATCTCGTTTTTTTTTTTTCTTTTTCTTTTTCTGTCACCTCCAACTTAGTTTTATGAAATTTGAAGAACTTAAATATTGTAAAGCTTAATGTTTATATTGGCTAAAAGCAGAAATCTTGGTGAATCAGTTTCTTTTTGTAAAACATGTGCCCCAGTTACTGAAAATCTTCTCTGAATCATAAAATGAAAAATGCAATAAAACCAAGACATTATTTAATTAGAAAAGCATGTAATTGCTTTTATAAAGAAGACATATTATAGACACTATTGTGTAAAGATAAATTTTTTTATGAATAATGCATTTTTACAAGAACTGTTTTCATTTTTAAAAAATTGTAATTAGAATAATTTATAAACTTTTAAATTTCTGTATTGTGCCGTTTAGGTAATAGTGTTAAGTTAAAACTATATTTACTGATCATAAATTGAAAAACTAAGTACAAATAATCAAACACCAATATTTTTAAAAGAATTTTGAATTTTTTTTTTGTATGTGTATGAACATGCTGATTTTTGTAGATATGGACAACCATACATGATATAATCAGAAAATAAGAGTGATAACTATAGAATTCAGTTACCAACTAATTGTTTTCTTCATGTCATGTTTCAACTAATAAAATTTCCCAATATTTTAAAAATATTCATTTTATAGTTTTTGATTCAAAAATGTCCGTATCATTTTATAGTTAGCTCCACTTGACTAATTTATTAAAAAAAGAGCCTAGCATAATGAAAAAGGCCCCAAACTTAATAAAAAACGATTTTAACATTAAAGTCTTTGTTATTGATAAAAGGAAAGACCAAAGTATTTTTTTATTATTTATTTATGTATTTTAATCCTTTTTGGAATGTTAGAAATGTTTGTGTCAGCTGGCAAACTATAAATTAGCATATCAAATTTTATGCATTAGATAAACTTCCATCTGTCATTCAAGCTGTCAAAATGTCAACAGCTTAGACAACTACTGCCATGTTAATGCATTTCTGCAATATGTGTTTCAAATCAGATTAATTGAACCTTAAATTGGCTAATATTCCTCAAATAAAATTTCTGAAAAGTATATTTTTGAAAATTTTTCAATAAAGAGAATTACATTCTGATGAAAGGTGACTAAAAATGGTGCTAAAATCAGTGATTTCATACCTTTTCAAAACAAAATCTTCTAGTCAATTTAAATTAGTTTTGAAATTGAGCAAAGTATTTTGCTTATTGGAAATATTAAATTTAATATAGTAGATTGAAATTAAAACTAAAAGCTTTTATGAAAGATTTTTCATTGTTAAAAATTAATTTTAAACCTTACATATCTCATTTCTGTGGCGGTACCTACTAGAAACAGTATTATTTTTACAAATTTTTTTTGAAAATATTTAAGAGATTCTTAAATTTGTTTTTATTTTTCATCAATAATTGAAATTTGATGAGGGATAGACAAATATTTTTTATAATGTATAAGCACTTTGTTTAGATAAAATTATTTTTTCTTCTTTTTTTATGGATTAGCATTTGTGATATTTTTAATGAAAAGTAAGTACCATATTTGACTGCATATAAGACACACACCAATTTCAGCCTAGGCTATGTTTATGAGGTATTATTTTGGTTAAACAAGCCATAATTACAATTAAATAGAAAATAATCGAAAAAAAAGAACACAAGCCTATAAAAACTTTATTATATCCAAAGGTAAGAAAACAAAATAAAAATCAAGCAATTATTACAATTGAGCAAAACAGTTCAGTTACCATTAAAATTTTATTCATCTTCAAATCCATAAAATTTGTCTTCATTATGAAAACTCTGATACTCATTTTCAATACTATTATCATCATTGTTAAATAATGAGTCATCTAATTTTGGCCGACTATTGTGAATTTTAGACTTACATATGGCATATAAGATGCAGAGGAATTTTCAAAGATGTTTTTAGTAAAAAAAAAACAAAACGTGTGCCTTATATGTTGTCAAATACAGTAATTGTTTCAGTTCAGACTAATTAAACTTTAAATCAGCTAATTTTTCTTCAATAATGTTTCAGAAAAGGATATTTTGTTTTTAACAACTTTTTTAATAGAGTTTGTTGTTTGACAGATTTGTCAATGTGGGTGAATATATAAATTTAACTGATTGGGGCACCTTGAGATGGTGTAATGGCTAACAAGCTTGTCTCACTAGACCAATTATGACTGAGTAGTGAGTTCAATCCTCACTAAGTGCCTCCCAGTTTCGGACTTGTGCCACATCTAAGCTGTGCTTGGAAAATCACTAAATAAGCACCCTGATGCGGGGTAATGGTTAGCAAGCTTGTTTCACTCACACAATTACGAATGAGTAGTGAGTTTGATCCTTACTGGGTGCCCCATACTTTCGGCCTTGTGACACATCTAAGCTAAGCTTGGAAAATCGCTACTGGGCACCTCGAGGCGGTGTAATGGTTAGCAAGCTTGTCTTGCTAGAACAATTATGACTGAGCAATGAGTTCGATCATCACTGGGTGCCCCATACTTTCAGGCCTTGTGCCACATCACCATTTTAACATTTGTACCATCCAGTCTTCTTCAAGTTTTACTTATACACAAATACCCTCGGGAAAGTTATGAATCCATTCCCCCACCCAATGATAAGCTAAATAGTATGACTTGTATCCGAAAACATAATTGTTGTTCTTTAAAAATTAATGCAATATTCACTTGCCAAAAAAAAAAGAAAAAAAGAATTATTCTTACAATCTCAAATGTTTCAGTGTAAATAAAGGGTTGATAAACTGTAAAAAAAAACAACTAAAGGGTTGATAAGCTGTAAAAAAAAAACAATCAATCTTCAAGTCTTTGTTATACATTGTAATCTTCTTGAAATTTTGAACCAAATTGTTTATTCAATTCATGGGGGTAGATCATATCAGTCAGTAACCTCCAGTTTATTCTCCTTTGTGTTACTTCTATTAAGCTAGAGCATATGGTTTTTCTACACTACCTAACCCAGGGATTGAACTAACAACTGTTATGGAACCTGATATGTTTTAACCAAAATTTTAATTCACTCGGCGTTCCTTCCTGAGAAAATTTCAACAAGTTTCATTTAAGACTTCCGCAGATCAAACACTTAACATATGTGCTGAAGATAGATAAATGTGCATTTATGCAAAATTGAGCTTTTCTATGGTATACAAGAGCACACACTGGAGATATATTCTTGTGAAATGTGGGTTTTTTTTTTTTAAACAGTCATCAAGTTTGGCAGTACATATGCAAACTTACACTGGAGAGAAACCATGCTCTTGTGAAGTTGAGGAATTTTCCTTTGCACACGAATCAATTTTCATGCAACATCTGAGGACACACACATACACTGGAGAAAAGCTATAGACTTGCAAATTGTCTGGATTTTGCTTTACAGGAAAGTCGCAGTTAATGCAATATATGGGAACACACAGTAGAGAGAAACAATATTTTTTTAATTTGAATATTCCTTTGCAGAAAAGTCAAATTTTGTGAGACATATGAGAACACATACTGGGGAGAAACTATATTTTTGTAGATTTTCCTTTTCAAACTTGGTGCGACATACAAGGTCTGTCTGAAAAGTAATGAGATTGAGTGTGCTAAAGTAATGAGACTGGGTGTACTGTGTGAGCTCTGGGCAAAACAGGGATAAGTAGATTGTCTTATCATCTATCTAATGTGATATTGTAGGAATATATAACTGTGATCTTAGATTACTGCAACCACTGCATTTTTTTCACATGCAAGAATTGTGGCAGGAAAAATTTCTTTCTTTCTTTCTTTCTTTTGTTTTCGTCTTCACCTTCCTATGTCTTCTCAACACATCTTCCCAACACATTTCTTCTTATTATTCTTATTCTTCTTCCCACCGATTTTTTATGTTTCTTTTCTTCCTACTCCTTCTTTCTTTCTTTCTTTTGTTTTCGTCTTCACCTTCCTATGTCTTTTCAACACATCTTCCCAACACACTTCTTCTTTTTCTTCCTCCTCCTCCCACCTATTTTTCATGTTTCTTTTCTTCCTACTCTTTCTTTCTTTCTTTCTTTCATTCTTTCGTTTTCATCTTCACCTTCCTGTCTTCTCAACACATCTTCCCAACACATTTCTTCTTCTTCTTCTTCCCACCTATTTTTCATGTTTCTTTTCTTCCTACTCCTTCTCTCTATTTCTTTCTTTCTTTCGTTTTCGTCTTCCTATGACTTTTCAACACATCTTCCCAACACTTCAATGCACTTGCTCACAATACCCTGATCATGCGGCAGATCCTGGCCGAGAAGAACATTGCTGGAGTGGAACAACTTTTCTATTCACCTGATCTTGCTCCATGTGAATTTTTTCTTTTCCTCAAGCTCAAGGGGACCTTTTTTGAAGTCGTGGAGGCCACTAAGAGGACCATAATGATGAAGCTGAGGGGCCTCCAAGAAGACTCTTTCCAGCAATGCATAGAAGTATGGTAGAAAAGGGTGGAAAAGTGAATTAGACTTGAGGGGGGGGGAGTTAATTTAAAGGGGAAAACATGTAATTTGTTCTTTCGAATTTAAATAGTTTGTGACACCAGTCCCATTGCTTTTCAGGCAGATCTCATCTATAATCATACAAGGGAGAGAAACCATATCTGAAATATCTGAATCTTTCTCATGGAAGTAAAATTATTTTAACGCAGTAAATGCTGGAGCATAATCGTATTAGTTTCATGTCTGTATATCTTTATTTCAAAGACATATTTGGGAAATAACCTGCTTCTATGCACACAAACCATATTTCTAATTAAGCGTGTAAATATTCCTTTTGATGTCCCAAATGTGAAAACATACCTATCATGTGCAAATGTACAAATTTTATAGCACATTTCAGAATCTACATAATAAAAAAAACCTACTATTTAATTTTTATTCTCAGGTAAGTTAAGAATATATTAATATGTATACTAATGAAATATGTAATTCTCCATTTTACATAAAAAGTCATTTTTAGTATAATATACAGTAATACCTTTAGATATAAGCATACCGATATAAATTTTTGCAACATGTGCCAGAGTTTGGCTGATTTTTGCCATGAGATATGAGCGAGTTTCACTTAGGTATCTACAGTACACGTCTGGATGGATCTTTGTTGTTTTGTGTCAGTTTTTCCGTTATTTTGCAAAATTCCTTTAGTGACACCATGGATCCAAAGAAAGTAAGTGTAAAGAGCAATAGAGAATTTTTAGTGGCCTGTAATGGATTGAAAATATTCCCAATGTTATGACAATGGATTGAGTGGAAGTGAAAGAAAGGCTGGATCAGGATAGCTTGAGTGAAGCTTTATTCTACTAGAAATCTATTCCGGTAGCGAACCGTAACAGGAAAATGGCTGACTACTTCATGGAGAGAGGAAGACAAAACAAAGGGAAATAATTCAGTCCTGGAAAGTCAGAGAAAGATTAAAGAGTTCTATTTTCACCACACCCAATAATTTCAGTGGTGAAAATTTGAATTATACACTTAGTCTTGGAACAAATTGAACTTGTATCTCAAGGCATTACTGTACTAAAAAATGTAATGGTGGGTAATCAGATTTGAAAAAATGTGTTCATGCCTTTTCAGTAATGTTTAAAATTATCTCTCTCTCTCTCTGATGCTGTGCTGGTTGCACAGATTTTCCTAACACTCTCCAGTCTTCATGAGCATTCCTTGTACCACAAAAGTCTTCTAGTTTGCATCCTATATCTTCACATAATGATCATTTTCAAAGAACCACCCCCATTGATGTGTCCATTTTTTGGCGTCCAAAGAAGCACATAGCTGATCAGCTAATCCTCACTTTTCCAGGAATGCCCAGAAAATTGTTTTCTTTTTCAAATTACCTTTGGAGATGATAGGTAGATGGCTATAAAGATTTTTTTGTTGGGTTCTATCTCAAGAGATTTAGCAGCACACAGCATTCTTGTGTACGTACCATCTAACTTCATTCACATGCTTTTCTTAATGTTCATATACTTCCATTCAATAGTACTGACATAGCAATAGCTTGAAAGAAATCGCTTTTCATTTTTGACGGCTAATTTTGATTTTCAAACTGCTGTTAGTCACTTTATGGAGGCCCAGACCTTGCCAATGCAGATATGTGATTAAAATTTGTTTGCTTTCTAAATAAATATTTTGCAACTGAAGAGATTTGAATTTGAATTTTGGGGGGGGATAAAATTACAAGCATTTTTTCATGAGAAGTAGATAGCTGTATAGCTGGGATTGTCTATATTTCTGAGATGAGGTATTATGTACAGTATTTACATTAGTCGGACTATTGTCCTCATCTTTGTCGCCATATTTGTCACAACGTTTCGGCCGTTGTACGTGCTGAAATAAAGGGTTCAGTTCGAAATTCCAACCACACAGCAATCCTCTACCTTGGGTTACTCTTGAGCCTTGTATTTGGTGAGCATTAGTAAAAAAAAATCGTTATAAATATAGAAAATATAACATGTATCAGCACTTATTAAAAAGGAAAAGATTAAAAAATAGATTTATTTTGTAATTTTTTAAAAAGATTTTAAAAGTTTATTTATTTCTAATCTTTATCAAAGAAAGAAACGAAATAAATTGATCTTCAGTAAAATTGATGTTAATTTTGATTTTTGCTGAATAAAAATATTACATTGTCATTATGAATTATCTCCCTTGATCTTGGCGACGCGGACATTTTTGTTTAAATTAAGAAGAGTAGATTTGCAAGAAAATTTTAATCAGAAAGTAATGGTTTATTTCAGATAATTATAGTTTCTCTACTTTCTCGAATATTTTATTGTTTTGTTGAAGACAAATCACGCAAAAGAACACAGAAAAAAGTATGTATGAAATCTTAATTCTTTGTTTTGAAAGAAATACGAAAAGTGCCATAGTGTTTCTCTTCATAAATAAAAGAAAAAGAATGACTCAATTTTTTATGTTTTACGAAATTTTACCTTTTATCTAAAAGTAATCAAAGTCGATTCCCTTTAAATACAAAACATATGTGAAAGCGCTTGGATCAACTGAATATAAACTTTTTTTTTTTTTTTTTAAAGGAATTTCTTTTTCAGAATTTTGTTGAAAACTACAATTATTTTTGTTTTAAGTTTTTTTGGTTATTTTTTTTTTTTTTCCCTCAGAAATCTTTGTCTTTGGCATTCAGTATAAGGGAATAAAAATTATTTTTATTTATTTTTTGACCTTAAACTTCTATCAAAAACAAACAAAAATCAGTTTTTTTTTTTTTTTGTATTATGCCTGGCAATTATTCGCTGCGAAACTGAAACCGGTGTTAGGCCACTTATAGTTCTTTCTTTATTTGATTTTTGTGATATGTACCTCCCAAACAAAAAAGAAAAAAAAAAAAGCGATACTTAAAGAAAGATTAAAATGCATTTTTTTAAATGAAGTTTCTATTTTATTTTTAATTCCAAGCTAATACATTAAATTTAATATTTCCAATGTGCAAAATACTTTGCTGTGGGTACCTCCACTTTTTCGCTGACGAAAAAAGAGCCTCAAACTTGAGGAAAACAAAGTTTTATTGTCAAAATGTTTGTTGTTAAGAAGAGGAAAAAGCAAAGTATTTTTATTAAATTTTTTAATCACTTCTGGCACGTTCGAAATTTTGGTTATATTTTGTTTTTGTTTTTTTGTGTCAGCAGTCAACCAAAGATAGTTTTCGGTAAAAAAAACTCCATTAATTTGGAAATTTTTGCAAAAATCAAGTAATTGTCGGATTTTAATGAAGCTTTTCAGACTTATTCACAAATGAATTAAATTTTTTTTTTTTGTCTTTTAGAAAATCTTGGTACGAAAATTTTTTTTTTCACATCTGTTATCTCCCACTTACCTAATTTTATGAAATTTTGAGAAATTAAAATTTCAGCCTTTCATACTTATATTAGTTAAAGCATGACTCCTTCAAGAATTTAAATCATCAATTAGTTTTTCTCAAAGTGCAAAATCATTTACCAAAAATTGGCTCTGAATCATAAAATAGAAAATGCAATAAAAGTTATGTTATTATTTAATTAGAAAACCTTTAATTTCTCTTATAAACAAGATATACTAAGGACACTATTTTCTTCAGAAAAAATCTTTTTTTGGTGAATAAGGAATTTTTACAAGAATTGTTTTCATTTTTAAAAAAAATTTAATTAGAAAAATTTATTAAGTTTTAAATCTTTTAAAATTCTGTATTAATTTCAAGCTTTTGGATTGTATTATTATTAAGTGAAAAGTATATTTACTAATGATAAATGATAAAGCCTAATACCGGTCTTTAAACACCAAAATTTTTAAAAGAATTTTAAAAGTTTTTTATGTACAATAAATGTGCCCATTTTTTAAAGTATGGGCAACCATACACAACATTATATTTTAGCAAATAAAAAGAAGATCTCTTCCAGTCAATTTAAATTAATTTTAAATTAGTTTTTCAAATATAACAAAGTATGTTGTTTATTAGAAATATTAAATTTAATCTATTAGCTTGAAATTAAAACTAAAATAAAAGCTGCAAGAAAGATTTTTCATTTTAAAAAATTCATTTTAAACATTAGGTATTATTTTTTCTGTTTTTTTTTTTGCGGTAACTACATAAATGGAAAAGCTTGTTACAGTTCAGCTCGTAATTAAAAGTTCTAATTAAATAATGTCTTAGTTTTGATGCATTTTTTATTTTACCATTCAGTGCAGATTTTCTGTAAATAGTGTTTCTGTTTGAAAAAAACAAAGTCATGATTTAAATTCTGTAATGAGTTTTAACTAATATATAATATAATATATATAAAAGAATATATATTTTTACCAAGATTTTCTAAAAATTTTAAAAATATTTTCATTCATTTATGAATGTTCTGAACATTTCATTAAAATCTGACAATTATTTGGTTTTTGTATGAATTTCCAAAACAATGTGTTGTTAATGCCAAAAAAAAAAAAGGAGATGCTAAAAATCCCTAAACTAACCTTTGACCCTCCTGCTGACACAAGAAAGACAAGATTTTTAACAAAATTCTGAACATGGTAAAAAGGATTAAAAAATAATCAAAAAATACTTTGGTCTTTCATCTTAATAATTTCAACATTTTGATGATAAAACTTTTTTTATCCAATTTGGGGTCTTTTTCATCATCTCTTTTTTTTTAGAAAGTTTTTTTGGGTACCTTCATTTTTCAGACAATAGTGTCCATAAAAGCAAT